CTCCAAACCTATAATTAAACTTCCTGTATAATTAGCGCTTACTATTCCAAATCTATAATTATAAATAATCTAACATTATAAACGATAATCTATAATTCCAAATCTATAATGCAACTTCCTGTATAATTAGTGATTACTGTGCTACTTGCTTACCATTAGGAAGGCAAAGGCCAACTGCATCGCAAAACTCGATCCTGGTCAATCCTCGCTCAATACACGAATATCTTGTTCGGCTGGAAAATACCGTGACATCAGAAGCAATTATTCCCAATTGATTACACAACTGCATGGCTATCGCATTTTCTATATCAATATCAATATCAAATGTCAATATCAAATCACTTTATTTTCACGTATACAATTGACATTTAAGAAAAAGGTATAACATGAAACAAAATAAATAGAAGTGATGGAGGGCGGAATGAGAATACAGTCTAAATTCTTCCCGTACATGTACTGCGTGCACTGCAGGCCATCCGATCTCAATGCAGAGGGGTCTATCAATACAAAACGTGGGGTTAACCGCCCTCCAGTCTGTAACGCATGTTGGTCCGTCGTGCCTTCAAAGCTGAAGCTAATTTGCAACCTCCGATAAAATCCCCCGACAGTTATATAGAGGTCAATTATTCCTAAAAATCCAAATCCCTAAATCCAAAAAAATTCTAAAACCCCCAAAAAACCTAAAAAACGGGAAATAGGAAAAGGTAATGGTAGGGGGGAGGGGTAGGGTAGGGGAATAGGTTAATCCTATGTATTTCCTAATTTCGGCTTAATTTTGCCAAAACGACATGCCTTAATTTTCCGGCTGTGCTTACTTTTGAAAATCCCAGCTGTGCTTTCATCACATCTCGGTTTGTGTAAGTTTCCGAACAGATAGAGTTCACCTGTATACTGGGGTCGCTTGAAACGAGTAATCGACCCCAAATCGGTACACCCCCCTTCCCGGGCCCTCCCCCATCCGTCTGTAAGTTACGCGCCTTCTAAAATTTTTGCGGAAACTTGCTTCTTACGTGCGTGCAAGATGAATAAAAATACATGTATAATCATAAATAAAATGCCTTAATCTTGAATTCTGAGCAATTACTTTACAGTGAGTGAATGTTAACCTAGTTTAGCATTGATGGTGTAAATTGTGAGGTGTGACCGTGGTGTTATCGCAATCTGTTCGCATGTTGTTAACGCAGACACTAATTTATCGTGCATCTTTACTTTAGCCTATATCTTCTTTGCCGCTTGCAAAAAAACACGATTTCTGTGTGTGAGAGTTATGTACCTATATGAGTTTAAATCGCAACGTCGTGTATAGGCCTACGTTGTACGTCATAATTAAGGAAGGACATTGATTTCACACTCGCAATCTTGTCCTTGCAATCTGTCTCAATGTCGCGATATAATTTACTTTCGCTTGCATCATTTGCATTGCTATAAATAATACCGGTACTAAATAAATGAGCAGTTTTTACTCAGATTAGAGGACCGATTCGGAAATGTTTGATATATTATAAAGCTCAGTATTTGACAATTTGTTGCTCCAAGCCTAATTTAGTAAATTATCTCGACAATGCCAGCACCTACCTAGCCTAGGACGTGGTTCGGCTAGTAGTCAGCCTATCGTAGCTCACTAGCTGTACCGTACACTGAACTTACATGCACCTTCCTTATCCACGTCAATGAAATAGCTTAGGTTTTCGTGTATTAGTATAAAACACGTTATACTACAATAAAACCCTTCCTTTCCCGAGATAAACGAATGAAATAAGGTAAGAGCAGGGAACGAAAACGAGGCCAAGCAAGGCAACTGACGTAGTCACGACAAACGATGTCTATACTATAGTACTGTTAAATTTCAGCCAGAGAACGAGTGGTTGCCGTTCCTCAGTAAAACACTAATCAACGAATTAATAAACGTCGTAATCTTTATAAGCACTATTAATCAGCGTAAATATTGAAACACGTACATACTGTCTGCTTAGGTGTCAACAGAGCATGTCAATCGGAATGGAAATGGCCGCCACCCACTATCGTAGTTAGCTACGCGACCGGTTACCGCTCGGCAAGGATCAGTCGCTAAACGACCGGTCCTCAGTAAAACTGCTGTATGAGGTTAAGATGTGCATTGATTATTATTATTACACGTTGCTACTAGTTCTGCTGGCGATGCCACAGTAAACCATGTATACACGTGTTGCTATATTCTAGAAAATCAATATGACCTTTAGGAATTCATAGACAGCTCAGCTTTTAGTGTACGAGTGTGGCTCAAGGAAAGACGCAATGTCGATCCAATTCGACTTACTTTAGCTGATAGGGGTCTATGTCTCCCTGACTTCTAGCCGTTTGACCTGGCTCGTTCAGATCTTTCTGACTAACCCTAACCCTCGGTAACTATCTGATATTGTTAGGGTTAGGGTTAGTCAGAAAGATCTGAACGAGCCAGGTCAAACAGAGGTCAGGGAGACATAGACCCTATCAGCCTTACTTTATCTTTGATAAGTATGAATTACATTTTAGAGGTATCATAAAAATTAATTAACAATGCTGATAAATTTATTAAATTATAGACAGGCGAGGTAAAATCAACCTAAAGTTAAAAAAAGTCTATGGAAAATACTCCCTAACACAAGTCCGACTGTAATACTATCGGTGCGTCACAGGCGTAACAATGAGGGGAGATTTTTGCTAATGACAATAAATAAGCTAGCAAATGTTAGGATGCAATTATTTTTTCCACTATTCTTTCTCTAAGTTTGTTTATGCTATTTCCATAACTGTAAACAGTAAACAAGGGGAAAACATGTATGAAAAAGGCGATATTTCCGTGTGAGAGAAATCCATTTTATTAACAACACGGTTGCATACATGTAAAAAAAAGTCAGATTAGCTGCATGCACACGACACTCGGCATTCAAACGAGACGCGCCCACTCCAACCAATAAGCGCAACTGTCAGTCCGATCTAAGTTTCAAGAATTATCATGTAAAAGTAATTTAAAGAGGTGAATAGTTGCCAATCAGATTAGAATCAAGAGTTTTTCAAGATGCTTTGGACTCTTCGACAGAAATCATGGTCCGTGGAAACGTACTTTTTGACCAAATCGTTCAAAACTGTACAAGCACGTTTCAAGAGGAAATTCAATTGCCACACCTATCCAAACAAAGGACTCATTCTAAGATGGGTACAGAAGTTCAGGGTGCATGTAACTGTCAAGAACCTCAATGCCAAAGGGAATACTCCCACACACTCAGGGAGACAAAGGCGTGCAAGGACAGAGGAGAACATCACCTCAGTCAGGACCTCGGTTGGCCGCAGTCCAAAGAAGTCGTTACGTTGGCGCAGCCAACAATTGGGCATTCCGAGGGAGTCTCTGAGGAGAATTATCTGGGTCAGCTTATGCTAATCCTAAATCAAAATTCTCCTCAGAGACTCCCTCGGAATGCCCAATTGTTGGCTGCGCCAATGTAACGACTTCTGTACCCATCTTAGAATGAGTCCTTTGTTTGGATAGGTGCGGCAATTAAATTCCCTCTTGAAACGTGCTTGTACAGTTTTGAACGATTTGGTCGAAAAGTACGTTTCCACGGACCATGATTTCTGTCGAAGAGTCCAATGCATCTTGAAAAACTCTGTGATTCTATTCTGATTGGCAACTATTCACCTCGTTAAATCTGAAAAATGAAAGGGTTAACATCAATATCAAAAAAGTTATTAACACTTGTTTGGGTTGCATTTTTTTGGGGTCACCCTGTAAATACCAATTCGTGACAGAGAAATGCCTATACACTGCAGGTATGAATGGCAGATATATAGATAATTTTGGTATAATGATATCCCTTGCTGCAATAACCAAGGTTATGTAAATTCACCCATACAAAATTTGTTCATTTATTACCACTACACTAGTAATACGAAACAATATATACGAAATTAATGGTGTTTTTTTTTACCCCAAAATCAGGTGAACTCAACCCCTGTCAATGACATTAAGGTAGTTATACTGCTTCCTGTCCTTTTGAGTGAGCAACTACACATGAAATTTCCGTGTACCTGCAATCAGTGCCCTGCACCCAGCATGCTGTACAGGGTACTAATGCTCATAGGGTCTATGTCCCCCAGGGTACTGCCGGAACGTACTCTGGGTACGGTCTGGTATACCGGAACGTACCCTGGTCACTATTTGATATGGTTAGGGTTAGGATTAAGGTTAGGGTTCGGGTTCGGGTTAGGGAGTAGGCGTAGGCGACTCACTAGACTCGTTACTGGAATAGGTGAGGTACGGTCCGGCATATTAGATAGTACCAGGGTACGTTCCGGTATACCGGACCGTACCCAGGGTATGTTCCGGCAGTACCCCGGGGGACATAGACCCTCTCAGCGGTACTAATGCGTTTTCTGAACTACTTCTATGTTGCGTCATTGAATTGCACAATTAGGCGATTCATCCCCGATTGCTAACTGAAGTCTATTACACGTGCCATGTTACCAACATAACACGCTTACCATTATGACTTTTGTCTCATCTAAATCTGCTTGTATTTTCATCATAGCATCTGCTTTAGTAGGGTCCTGAAAAAATGAATACATGAAATTATTTGCGATTATACAGCACATAATGTAAATATAGATCAGACGTACACTATCCACTATTACATTTTAAACTTGACATTCCCATGTGATCAATTATCTAAGTACTTGTCATTTTATCTCCAGGACACAACAGCTCTGCGCATCCTGTGAGCTTGTCGAAATTGACCCATGGTGTTTGACCGAGTGTCGCAGCGTCGCGACAGACTACTTCGAGTCAATGGGTGCAGAGCCCTGCAGATATATGAGAGGATCCAGCGTCCGTCTTTACCTGTGATATCTATACAGCTTAGCCTGTGAGCTAGCCGGCAAGATCCACCCGATGTCCTACACAGAGACCCGTCGCGTACCTACAGAATACCTGGACTCAATGGGAGCAGAGCCTTGGCACTACATGCGAGGATCGAGCGTCCGTCTGTCGCAATTTATTAATTTGGTGGTGAGAGATGGAGTGGAGTGTGATGATAGAGGAAAGAATGCCGTAATTAATGAGGTGAAGATGCACAGCAAGTTTTACTTTCAGGTGTGCAAGTGGCTTTGTCCCGGTAAATATCTGACAAAGTATAATATGGTCGATTGTGTGCAGAATGATTTTGATTTAGAGCACGAGATATTGGTACTTTGTGCTGCAGCATCCGTCTTCAAAACCATCTTTGACTTCGTGGAGTGTGGCGGAGATGGCTTCGGCCATCTCCGTCGTTTCTTTCCAGCACGCCTCCTCGACGACCACCACCCTGGATTTTTAACAGTAAGTGCATACCTAGACTATTATAATCATTGATATATATAAACACTGGATAGGACAACGGCCTGTCATTGGCGCAAAATTTGGCCGCCATCTTAGGATGGTAATTGGATGCTTAGAACTTGGGTCATGTTGGTCGTTGCGTGAAGCGAGTTATTTACATTTTGATCAAGTTTTCAGCCGTTATAATCAGTTTTTACCAGTAAAACCTTTTCGCACCACATCAATAACTATATGGTTATACTCAGTAAGAAGAGAGATACATGAATCATGGATTTTAGAAAAGAAGACCCAAATGATGCGTACCAGGACACAACGGGAATGAACAGCGTTGAGAAGCTGGCTCATATGTTTAAACAATGCAACCACATTGGGATGGAGAGACAATTTTCACAGTCAGCGATCCAAGAGGATGTCTACAACGAGGCAAACCTCACTATCCGGGAGTTTGAATATTATGATCTAAAAGCGCAAACTGACAAGGCCATATTCTCGATGTATAAGAACTCTTTTATAGCCTTGACCACAATGGGCTCAACTCCCCTCGGGCTCCTATGTCTCAGTAGGTTCCTCTACACGACACCTGTGGAGATACCGGGGCTGTCATCATCGATCCGAGATTACATAGGTGCAACTCCCAACACGTTCAAGGCAAAAGAGAGAGATGACCTCGAAGGATGCACAGCAAGACTTGCGAAGGTTGCAAAGTCCATCCAAGTGAAGCTGGAAGCTCAAGTCCGGGGCAAGAAAACCACATTGGTACCAGAGGAAGGAGAACAGAGCGACGAGGAGAAAGACAAGACTCCAGATCCTGAGGAGATACTTGTCACTGGAAACGAGGACGACGAGGACACTCTTGACCACCCTGAATACGGGACCTATGCCCTCTCGCTTGAAAGCCTTGTGAGGAGAGGCATGATATCTCCTATAGAGGGAACCACCCGGCTCTTCATGTTATCTTCACTACTGTACCAGGCGGGGTTTAGAAGCCCAACGAGTATGTTGTCTTGGACAACGCAGAAGCTGAGGCAAATCTCACTTTCTCAGTTTGGGATAGATCTTGATGGAGTAGGCACCCTAGGAGCCAAGGGGATCCAAAGAATTGCAAATCTAACAGGCAACTCGTCCCAAGTGTTCATGAACGTATTTGGAGTATACGTGGATGCTGCAGTCAAACCAGGGAAACCACGAGACCTGGCGCAGCAAGTAGTTCTCATGCGCGGGGCTTGGCATGGAATGCAGCCCATCACTCTAACAGGATCATGTGCCAACATCTTGGGTGTTACTGCACATGATTTCATGACCAGCATCGCGCATAAGGCGTTACTGCACATGATTTCATGACCAGCATCGCGCATAAGGCGTTACTGTCAACGATGGGGAGAATGATAGAGATAACGAGGTATTCCTATGATGATGGAATCTTAGGAAGGATGGTTCCCTACTCCAGGTTGATAAACCCAGCCTTCTTTGTAGACATGGGGCAAAAGTACAACCGACTCTACAACAGACTCCTTATGAGGGTTCTCACGATCATTGGACCAGGATCAACTGTCATGAATCTGATTGGAAGCGAAGTCAGTCATATCCTGTCGACTGCGCCAATTAACTCTGTTGTGTTTCTCACAAAGAGTCAATAAATAAATCGTTTATTGTACAACAATAGTATCGTTTATTGTACAACAATAGTATCGTTTATTGTACAACAATAGTATCGTTTATTGTACAGCAAT